AAATTCAGTCGATCAGCGAATTTGGCATACAATTGCGAGGCGCTCTACACCCAATTTACCCTTGCGACAAAATTGTAATTGCGTGGATTTGGCCGCGGGTCCATTTGACCGCGAAATATGTGCGCCACGCGGGAACAGGGCACATCTAACAGCATGCCGCCGCACATCCAGATCTTAAAACTCAGCTCGTACTGCTCGCCACCCCAAATGTCCAGCTCATCATCGTAGCCGCCCAGATCCCAGAAGAACTCGCTGTTAATGGCAAACAGGCCGCCCATCATTACCGGACTGCGATACGGCAGAGATTTGTCTACACTATCCTCGGGCAGCACGGGCAGCTGTTTGTAGAAAAAGCGCCAGTCGAAGCCGCCGCGTGTGCCCTCCTGATAGCCACCGTTATAGGCAAAATTATTGTGATCAATAATGTCCACAATGGGACACGTCGATATCTTATTGTTGATGACAATGGGCTCTAAAAGTGGCGGCAGCTATAATTAGAAATAAATGACAATCGCTTCAAATATCACTTAATCAGTTAAGTAAACATGCTGGGACAAAAGCAAGGTTTACAAACAGTCGAGGGAAATTGTCTAAAGATTTAATTAGTATGTCTTATCTTTTACGTTTAAATGTCAGATGCTGTGAAAGCTTTTCACTAGAGTTTCAATTACGAAACAAAAACTGACCTAGGTACTCCTACAGCTTTAAAGATCAGCTAGCTTAAGCTTCTTGACTTACCCAATTGTAGTTGACTTCAATGTGTGAGTCAAAGAAGACCATGACCTCACCGGTGGCAACCCTAGCGCCAGCCAGACGTGCACCAATCAGGCCACGTCGCTCTGGATTGTGCACCACGTCGACTAAATGAGGCCACTGTAGGGCGACGTATTGATCCAATTGGTCCTTTAATGTCTCCCATTCGCTGCCATCGTCGACGAGAACAATCTGGTGCAGTAGCTCCTTAGGAGTGCGATTGACAATGCTGTAAACGGTGCGTAGAAGCGTCTGAAAGTGTTCATTGTAAAAGATGATGACGACGCTGACATTCGGCAGTTTGGCCAGATATTTGCGCGTCTTGCACCTAGCGGGGAATCGGGTACACATTTATAGAGAATCGATTCAATAGCTGCTGATCCATTCCACTTACTTTTCGTGTCGCACATCTGGCAGTGAGCGATTCACAGAGATGCGATCGGAGAGATAGCCATTAAAGCCATTCCTGCGATACTCTTGCTCTTCCAGCGTTTTCTCAGCAGGATCTTCAATCGTAGCGGGTAGTCCATGTTCCCCGAGACCGGATCGCAACTTGTCTGCTGCCATTGCCTCGTAATCGTGCCAGTCCCTACGCTCACCCACCGGCGTTGGCAACGTAAACATTTTCACTGTCTCAGTCTTTGGCTGCTCCATTTGCTGATCCGGCAACGCATCGCGCACAGCACTGCGATCCTGAAACGGCGGTCGAGCCGGGCGACGTGTCGGCGCCACATTGGCCGCACGGAACTCTGGCGTTATGGGATCTCCATTCATATCCAAATTACTTTCGTCCGGCTCGTCCGCTGATTTGGCTTTGTTCAGACGTTTCTCCACAATCAACGTCGTCAGCAGCGAGATGAAGCCAATTATAATAAGTAGAAAGATGAACTTACGCAACAGGCGTTTCACATAGCGCTTCTTCATGGCCATGGCCAGCACGTTTTAAGGCTGAGAGTCTTTGTTACAGAATGGTTTCAGGCCCGTGCGGCCAATACGTTGAGGCGTCTGCAATGCGTGGCATGGATGTCCATTAATCTAATTGCCTTTTTTCGCTGCCTGATAAGATGTCGGTAACTTAATTTCGCTTATTATGAACATCGTTCTCCAATATCAATCAGAGCTATCAGCTATCTCGCGCCCAACTAAAACCAACTGTCAACTACTCCAACTTCCAACTTCCACTCACCTGTTTCGAGTAAAATATGAGCACTTTCACGCTATCGCCATCTGGCGTCGCAAATGCAAAGTTTTAGTCGTATTTTGACGTTATGATAGCGCTATCGTTCCAAGCAACTACACTGAAAAAAAAATAGTTTAAAAAGCAATAAATTATAATTAAAAGACAAAAATAAAATATAATAGAAAATTTGAATTGAAATTGATCGAAATGAAGTCAAAATATATATTTAATTAAATTTACTTATTTGGTTATAACTTATTTTCATTACAGTAAAATTATTCTATATATTCAAATAATATGATTGAATGTTATCAGTTTTTTTCTATTCGCATAATCTACAAGTTCAACTGAAACTATTTTTTTCTTATTTTGACGTCTTAAGACTCTGTAGAGCTCTTGAACCAAGTTTCATATGCAGCAACATTTTATTTTGTGCATTTCGTAGGCCTTATATGATCTATGTTTATACCTCATATGGCAGATGGTGCACACAGTTTACACTCGATTCTTTTATTTTAGCTCAATGCCAGCTGTGTCTACTGCGCTGTACCAACAATTCTAAGCAAACACACATGCACATACTCATACACACACAATTCCACACATGCTGGGCATTTAAGCGTATATTTATTGTACAACGCGGCGTATTCGCAATAAATTTTCACAAAATTTCGACGCATTGTGGCAATAAAATGACATTTTTTCATATTTACACATAAAGTCAATGCCAAAAACCTTGCCGTGAAGTACCAGTCAGGAAGGGAGGGGTGGTGGTGAGGGGGACGGTGTTAGGCGAGGGCGGGTGAGAAGTTACATTTTTTATGGCCTTCGCTTTCATATGATGTGAAATATTTTCAACGCAGACATTTTTATTTGTACACGAAGATATATTTAGATGTGTGTATGCATATGTGCCAAACGGTATGTGTCTATATTCTTTATATGAAAGCTGAATCATGATAACAGAGCAACAACAATATACCAAAGAGCTGTTCTAATCCTGGGCTGCCGACTGTCCAATACCCTAACTAGTCACAAAAGCTTAGGGTTAAACACTTATATACAATACTTATGTGATCTGCATTATTGTGTTATGTACAAAAGCTCAAAAATTAAGCGTAAAGATAGCTTTGGTGTTAAGAATGATTATCAATAACTATATAAATATTTTTTAATTATTACTTTGTGTAGATTAACTCTTAAGATATTGGCGAAAAACTTGCGTATTTCAAAGTGGACTGTATATAAATCTATGTTGCTTTACTTTAAAAAAACAATGCCTTATGAAATGTTGCACTTTGCATTGTAAAACACAAATACCCTATATAAGGGTATAGAATACAACAACAATAACTGTGTCAACTTGCCGCATTTGACAGCTGTGGTTGCTTGTTGTTGGGTTTCAGTTGAGCTTCTGCTTTTGGCTGGTTCAACTGCCAAAATGTTGTCGCGGCTAAAAGCGCAGCAGGCAATAAAAACCAAATATTGAAAATTTTATAAACATTTTGGCTGTAAATTGCAACAGTGCAGTTTATATAAACTATATATAGAATTTGTACACAGAACTTTACATAGATATATAACAGTGTTTACCAACCATATATAAAGATAGATGGCGAAAGAGTTTAAATTTTATGATAAGCTTTAGCATTCTATCAACCTAATCTAATTTTAACAAAATTTGGTTATTACTGTTAATAAATATGACTTAATTCATGAGTCAAATCCAGCAGGAAAATAAAGAAATTAAACACAAGCAGAAATCACATACATAGCTGTGAGTGTGACCAGACGTTATTTGCGGTCACTCACGCTGTTAAAATATGCATACAAAACAAAAACAAAATTTTGTTATATACCCAATTATTAAGAATGTTAGAAAACAGATTTTCTTTGTAGAATTAATTTTTGATAGTTTTCTTTTCCAATCAAACTGATCAGAAATTGTATATAATTAAAATATGTTCAGTGCTTGTACTTTACATCTGTATGAGGTATTTATTTGATCTATTTTCAGTCTATGCATTTTATCTACATTGTCTTTTCCTATCAAGAACACCTATTGACCTTGTTTTTCTAACCGTTCAGTTATTATCTTTTGTTATCTCTACTTTTATTGCTATCGATGTGTAAGGTATGTCAAAATATTGAATATATATGTAGTTATGGGAATTTCATTCATTATTATAAATTTTTTTTCATTTCATTGTTTATTTTATTAGTAAATACCTATATACATTTATTTTAAAATTCACAAATAACAAATAAGGTTTGGATACTTAGATACTTATAAATGTGAATAACGTGTGTTAATAGAAAAAAACTACAAATATACACAAAGAATTTACATAAACGTAATAAAACACATTCCCAAAATTTATTTCAAATCTATATTAATTAATTTATTTTAAATAATTATGTTTTTGATCAAAATTAAATAGGTGCCGAGCTTAGTAAATTATTTGGAATAACGCACATTTTGAGAATGCTTAACTTGTTGGCTTGTTGGCAAACAGATTTTGTGCAAAGAGTAAAAAAAAATAAATATAATGCTATGTGCTCTGTCACAAAGGCATAGAGGAATTGGATGGGCGTGGCTTAAAAAGTATTTCACAGGCATTTGCACATGCATAATAAATAAATAAAGCGGGTCCCAAGCGGGGGCTGCATAAAAATTTACGCGTTTGTAATTACGTAGAAATTAAGCCAGCATCAACATTTAATTGCTAAAAGCCCCAGATACACACAGCTAACCCTGTCCTGACTGCGCAATGCTCTATTCCCATACATACATATATATATATATATATATATATGCATAAGTGTGTGTGGGAGAGCAGCCACGCATGCTGCAAAAGGAACGAACATTTAATTAACAAATTTTACGCATTTATTTTCTATTTTCATGTGGCTCGACGATGCTGACCAACAAAAAATAAAACCTTGACAACATAATTTGCCTGACCCCCAAAAATAAAATGGCGGCGACTTTATGCCACCAACATGAACAAAAACAACAACAACAACTAATGCCAACCACATCCGCAAAACCACAATCGGCACACAGTGAAAACGAAGGACATTGATGCCGTCGAGGGTAAATCAGTGTCGCTGCCCTGCCCCATTGCCGAGCCCCTGCATGATGTTTATATGGTCTTATGGTTTCGTGATAACGCGGGCATACCTTTATACAGGTAAGTACTATCGCCGCCTCTCGCTCACTGACTCCCTCTCTCTCTCTCTCTCTATCTTTCTCTCTGTGTGTGTGCGTGCGTGGTGACTGGCTCATTTGGCTCATTGTCTGTCTGTCTGTCTGCCTGTGTATGTGTGTCTTTATAAGCATTTAATTAAATGCAAACGAGCCTCGAGAGCAGCTGCCTTTTAAATTGTGCGGCCCAGCTTTGCACTTAAGTATGCTACAATATTTTTTGTTGACATACCCTTCGCGAAGTTGGCACAAATAGGTATATAAGCTATTCATATACGATACAAGCAAAAACATCACAAAAATATCAAATATAGCTGCCTTTGTGCTTAGCTGATAAGACTTGAGCTCTTAATATGCGCGCATTTTCTAGGGTATTGCCAGGTCGAATACCAGCATTGGCTATAATTAAACTTGAGCTGTTTATTTTTTGCACCTGCCTGGCAGCTGATAAGTGGCCTTTGGTCTGAATATGTGATTTAACTTTTGTCTGTGTGTGCGTGTGTTTTTGTTGTCGCTGGCACACAGTAAATTAACTTAATTATATTTTCCTAATTTCGTAATTAACCTTAGACATAAAGCCACAAGAATTATGTGGATAAATGATGTTGAATTTCTTTTATATGGATTTGGGCATTAAGCTGTTGCTAAGCTTGCGACCAGGCCAAATTGTTGCTTTTGCTGTAGTCCTGCTTGTTGTTGTTGTTATTTCTGCCTAATAGCAATCGGGCCGGTCATAAACAACTGTTTGGAAAGTGCCTGTAAAGTGCTCCCTGCTGGCCCCAGGCTACATATCGAGGGGGTGACCAGGTAGCAGCTCATACTAATTGCATTCACGACATTTTAACGCCATGTTTCGCCTTTTGCCTGTCAAATGCAATATCTGGCACTTGAAAAACAATGTGACACTTTTACTTGGCGACACACACAGTGGCGCAGATAAGTAAAATATTTGAGAATTATTCCAAAATTAATAGTAAGTGTATCTGGTACAAATAGTAGGTGAAAGCGTAGCCTATAAATAGAGTAAGCTTTTTAGCTATTAATTATTATTAAATAGATAGCGGTTTGTAAGACCAGAACAATGTGAAAGTGGGTAGTAAAAAAGCTTATAGTCGATAAGTAAGGGGTTTGCGGATCATGGTTGCGTACAATAGAAAGATTGCGTACAATAAAGATTATCTTAAATATCACAAGACAATTAAATTATAACAAATGTGGAATCACACTTTTAAGAGCATAGACACAGTCGCCAAGCTAACCCAAATAAATTGTGCATTATGAATTCTATGTGGAAGTAATGTTAACATGCAGTCTTAAGAAATTTATGGAATGAATCCCTCGCCGAGTCTTGCAGTTTTGAAGTCACAATAAGAGCAGAGGCTATACAATTTTATTTTCTTAAAAGCCAGTCGGGTTCAGTTTTTAACAGACTGTGTAGAGAGCTAATATTTGCAGCGCATAAGTGGCCTTAACATACTTAGTTAGCCCAACAGTTTCATATAACTTTAACTTTTGGCCAACATTTCGCTGCATCTACCCATAGTCCCACGCTTTTTTTTACTCGGATTTTGGCCATTTTCATAACACTCAATTTGCCTGGGTCCACGTAGCATATTATTTGGTCATAAACATTTGCTGCATAGGCCCCGAAGAGCAGTTATTAAGCGCAGGCGTACGCCTCTGCCACACCCCCGAACTCCCTTAGAACATTTCACTTTCGCTAGCCGCAGGCTCTGCAGCCAACTGCAACAGTTTTTCTTTTTCCCTTTTTTTTATTATTTTACTTTTTTAGTTTTTAATTAAAATGGCAGCGCTATGAGCAAAAAAAAAAAATAAGAAAAAATTGAAAGCAAGAAAACGCAACAAAATTGGGTTAACGTTGCTCTCGCTTTCGCACTAAATCGTTCTCTTTCTTTCACTCGCTCCCGCTCTCTGTCGCTCTTTTACTTGAGTTGCCGCCCGCTTGGCACGCAGCAATTAAGTTGTTGCATTTTGCGATGTCGCGGTCGACGTCGACGTCGGCAGCGTTCTTCGTTGGTTGCCCGCATAAATTATTGCGTGTTGCATACAAAAGGGCGCTTAACGCCCCACTTGCCGCAGCGGCTCTCGAAAAGTGGCTGCTACAATAACAACAAAAACAACAAACGAAATAGCTGCTCGACCCTTGACTGCGCCTCGTCTCTGAGTACACATTGTTGAAGCGAACTTTGCCCTAGAAGTCTGCTAACAACTGTTGTCATAAATTTAGAAACAATCAAAGAGCTCTAATAGGATTAAAATACAATAAAAAGATATTGTATATTCGCACAAAGAGAATATGATAATGGAATATTTGTTTAGTTAGTTAAAATACTTCTATTGAAATACAGGAAGAAATTAAGAACAAACAGCGAGAGGAACAAGCAAGAGTTACTGTAGTCGGCAGTGTCCGAGCAGGAGATTCCCTTAAAAATGATATATATTTTAGATCTTTCTTTTCTATAGAAGAGTCTACAGGCTACCAAATTTGGGGTCTTGTGCGCTTATAAGTTCTGAGATTTGCTCAGAAAAAGTGTTTCGATATCGATTCTAATCGATTTGATGGAAATTAGGAAAACTATCGATTATTTGAAACGAGCTTGCGCTGATCGGGATAGGTTCTGGTATCGAAGCGCTTATATAGACTGACGCACAGATAGACAGGTTCCTGATGCTGATCAAGAATATATATACTTAATGATGTCAAAGATACTTCCCTTTGCCTGTTACATAGATTTAGACAAAACCAATATACCCTTCGTAGTCACTTTCAATGGGCTCAGTGTATAAAAGCAAATAATTAAGAGTTTTATTCGTTTAAGCTTATAATGCTGATAGAGAGTGTAGTAAAGGTTAAATTAGATGTTTTTACAGACTATCTAAAAGAATAACTATGAGAAAAATAAGATTAAATAGTTTTAAAATAATTGGATAACTAATTAGTCACACAGCTAAAAAATAAATTGTCTACTATTAATTTAAATGGGAAGGAAATAAAGTAAAGAGCCTATCATTTGACCATATATATCAGAGGAATATGCAGTCGAGTGCTCGGAATAAAAAATTGAATTGCATTCGAATGCTGAAAACAGAGTTCTCGACATTTCTATAGATTTTAATCAGGATTATATGAATATGTTGTTGAGCTGCCTGTTTGTGTGTTTTTCCTAATAACTATAACCTTATACATTTGCTAATTATGGGTAGAAGCATAGTTAGGCCTTAAAATAATTAGTCAAAAACTCAATTCAGTTGAATTTTACAAAAGAAAACAGAATTTAAAGTTGTAATCGGTTGCGGCAAACGCGTTTATCACTTGCAAATTACAGTTGCGTAATATTTATTGCTTAATAAAGTTCACTAGCTCAGTAGAAAAACAAAGATTTCAAGCCAGCTCAATGCAAGCCATGCTTATGGCCATGTTAATGATGACTCCGCACCGCAGCAGTAGTCAGCATTTAGCCAGGTCTTAAGTGTTATGGCCTGCTGCGTGTGCTGCCAGGTAAAACTTGGCGCATTAAATGCAACGCCGGCGAGAACTGCAAAAGCACAGAAAATTGAAAAAATGTTTATCTGCAGGCCCATAAATTCAGTTTTGGCAGCCCGCCCGACGCCCCTTCTAATGAGCAGGCCAAAATAAATGAGGCTAAGTTTAGCACGCGCAATTTTCAAATAAGACAAAAAAGCAAGAAGAAGAATAAAAAAGCCGAGCTGAAGTCCAAGCTGAATTATATAGCCTATGGAGTTTCATTACCCGGTTTCCCGGTTTTGGCATGTGAATATTTTGCTGGGAGCTTAAGAATTTAGATCAACTTGATTTAATTTCGCAAAATAATAATAATTCTCTTTGTCTCTCTTCCTCTCTGTCTGTTTCTCTCTTTGCAGCTTCGATGTGCGCGATAATATGGCCGTTGAGCAGCCACGACATTGGTCAGCTCCGGAGGTTTTTGGCTCACGTGCCAAATTCCATTTTGACTCGCAGCCAGCAACCTTGGAAATTAAGGTAAGATCCCAAATGATTGATTTAATCAATTCTTTAAATATTCCATTTAATTTGTGTGAGCTTGAATGAATGTGAAACACACGACCTATCGCACTGCAATTATTGTAGCATACTTTTAGGGATGCTTTTAGCCATTTGAAGGGCTTTCCACCTGGTGGAAAAAAAAAAGGAAAAAATAAATTATATAAATTATAAATTATAAAAAAAAATGGAAAAACAAAATTTTGGGAACATGAAGTTCCAGTTTTGGTACTAAGATAAATTTCAACAACTCTAAAAATTAATGCTACATAGATAAAACGACGAGTGCGTAAATTGGTATATAATAGATTTAAATTATATGGCATTTCCCCTTGAAAATTCTCTCAAAATTTGCTTTAAATTTTCCATTTTATCTAAAAGCGCTTTCAATTTTTTAACCGAAAATGGAATTGCAATTGGAATTGCGAATGCGTGTTAAAAATTAAGTCAGCGCGAATAACAGTAAACGGAAGTACCGAACATATTGCAAAAAAAAAAGAAACATATAGGGAAAAGGGCCATGAAAAGGGAGTAGAAACGGAATGCTAAATAACAGTAGAAAGCTGCGACTGCGACGGCGACTGCGGCTGAGGCAATGCGAAAACAAATTTAGATATCAAAAGTTGTTAAATTGCCTCGCGCACGCGAAATGTTTATTAATGTCTTGCATGTTTACAGATAACTTGATTTACCGTTATTGTCATGCAATGCACACTTACACAAACAGACACACACACACACACACACAGACACGCACACCCGCACACAATATGGCAGCTACTTGAGCCAACGCCTCGGCATGTCTTTGCGCCACAAGCGGTTGACTTTTAGAGGCCAACTTGAGTTGGCTTCGGGTTCCAGAGTGTAGGAATCCTTGGACAATTCCTGGTCTTAGACAGCCTGGTGGGGGGGGGGGGGGGGGGGAGGTTCTGTCTGCACGTTAACGAGCTGCATGTGCACACACACACACACAAACACACACACATACATTCGGAAATGAATGTGAAATGCACACGAAGAGGCAGCCTGATCCCGCCCATAAATTTGCCACTCGCGGTTGCATCAACTTCATATTGCAAGCGAGGCACACAACAGGATGTTACAAAAACATTTATATATAACTCGAATATGAATAATGTGCGACAAATGGTTGGGATCTGGGCGAGGAGTTGACTTTATAAATTAATTTTAATTGCGTTTCAATTGCCTGACAATTAGCCTGACGCCACACGGTCTGTAAATTGCATACAAGTAATTAGAGAAAACCTCAACGGATGCTTAAGGGGCAGATGGGATATTATAGGTATAAGAATTTAACTATGGATACATGGAAAAATGTAAATGGGATATGCAAATAATGACATTTTTAGTTAAGTACTTGGATAAAAAGGTGTTCAAAATCTGATTAAGATCTATGGAAAAAGTTGAATCGAAAACTTGCTAGGTTCCTAACATTCCCTAGTCAACTAATAAGCTAGCTAGATCACGGAACTAGTTCCTTTAAGCATGAAAAATACTTAATATAAATTTAAGACTGCCAGTTGACAATGTGAAAAATGTAATAATGTATCCACAAATCAAAACTTAAAAAGAGTGTGTCTCAGCTAGCTAATAAAGTTGTATAATTTATTGGTAAATATGTACATAGGTAATGACAACTAACTGGAACAGGTTTTAAGCTGCTTCACAGAACTAGTTTATTTATAACAACACACATTTAAATTGCGGTCGGATTGCCGAGAGCAAGATAATGATAAATTCAAATCTTAATGAAAGAACCAATCAGAGTAATATATATATCCATTCATTGACTAACTAATCATAGCCACAATTAACTGAACCAAATGTTCACTACCTTCAATACCTGAGAGTGCATAATTGCCTGGCCGGAGTTTCGATATATATCTAAAGTCCTGTACGACTTGGCCACAGCACAGACCACATAGTTGTATGACTTAAGTGACATGCAATAATTGAAAATTACATGACCAGAAGCAGAACCAACTGTTTTGTGGGTGTGTGCAGTGTGTGTGTGTGTGTATACGTGTGTATACGTGTGTATGCTAATCATCTGTTTCCTTTCGCACACATATAATAATATAACGTATGGAATTTTGCAGGATATCAAACGGCATGATCAAGGCATTTACCGTTGTCGTGTCGATTTTCGCACAGCTCAAACGCAAAGCTTCCGTTTCAATTTGTCTGTAATAAGTGAGTATCTGAAATGCTGGCACACATACACCTACACATACACTTAACTTTCAATTGCTGCTGCTGTTCTTGTTGTTGTTCTTTTTAGTACTTCCGGAGCAGCCCATCATACTGGACCGTTGGGGTCGTCAACTGAATGGCACAAAATTGGGTCCCAAGCAGGAGGGCGATGATATTGTTATCACTTGTCGTGTGGTGGGCGGTAAGTAAGCCCAACTATCTGGCTTAACCCCATTGCCAGTGACCACGCCCCCTTTTGCTTTTGCTATGCCTCACACACATGGCTATATCCGCTCGACCGGCTAGACAATTTCCTGTTAATTTCCTTAAAAGCTTTGGCTAGCTAAAAAAAAAACAGAGAACAAGAGAAAAACCTCAAGCCGCACTTTGACCGAAAATGAAAATATCACAAAGTTTGCTTTCGGTTTTCTTTGCGCTATGTTTTTTTTTTTTCAGTCCAAAACTTGACTTTTTAATTTGCGCCGTTTCCAGCTGCCGTTTCGCATAGTCCACATATGTTGATGTGTATATAACTATTGTATATTTTTTTTTTGTTCTTTGTTCTTTCTCGACTCTATTTCATAGGTCGGCCACAACCGCAGGTCCGCTGGCTAGTGAATGGACTACTTGTCGACAATCAAAACGAGCACAATTCCGGCGATGTTATCGAGAATCGACTGTTGTGGCCATCGGTGCAGCGCAACGATTTAAATTCCGTATTCACATGTCAGGCATTGAATACGCAATTAGATAAGCCCAAGGAGAAGAGCTTCATACTCGATATGCACCGTAAGTGCCCAACCCAAATTCAACTTGTCTGGCTAATAAATTTGTCTAAAGCAACCGCACATGACCTGAAAAAAAAAACAGAAAAAAGACCAGCTCGCTTAGGTTTGATTTTAGACCAGCATTTTGCTATCGTCAAGGTTAAGTTATTTACTGTGGGACTTACTATTTCTAGGCTTAGCAGGCGGGCTTATATAACTCATAGAGGGACCATACCAAGATATTGAAAAAAATTAGTATATCAATAACAACTAAGGCCTGAGCTTAGATCTACGTTTTTTTTTTTCATTTAAATAATAACTTATTATGTTGAGAACTCCACTCAAAGCATTCCCATCTGACACACACTACAACTTAATCATTTTCATTACAAATCAATTATATTTAATTCCGAATCTCAATTATCTAAATCAATATTTAATCAAAGAAAATATTATCTTTTAATATCGGAGCTTCGTAGTTATTTTCAGCACGTTAACTAAACAACTCGCCTGTTGTGTAAACACAAACAAATCATATTCAATATTTTTCACGATTGTAACGCTACATAAATAAACCTGACATTCTTAGGGTTAAATACCGCGCATATAGCTCGTCAAAGTGGCCGTTAAATAATTACATGTTTACAGAAATGAACGAATGACGGGGCGTTAAGCCTAACATTAACCTCGCTCCATATCCCGAGCTCTTTACAGCAAACAGCACAACAAATTGTTGCCTTAGCCAAAGAGGGTCATTTATATATATAGGGACCTATGGGGGCCTATGGGGACCTATGGAGTCAGCCAGATGTGGTCAGCGTCGTTAGTTGTTAACGTTTGTTAGTTACAAATTGTTGAAAGCTTTACTTAATAATTATTTTGTAAAGTTAAAAGCGAAAGAATGGGAATATACAGAGCTTTAATATAATTTTAAAAAATCTAAAGAAACTACTATAATACGCAATCCTTTTTTTGTTTACTAAATTTTCATTATTCAAATTACGAATGTTATTTATCTATTGTTTCTTCTTTTCACAGTAAAGCCATTGACTGTAAAAATTCTGGAACCACCCAGTTCAATGATTGCCGATCGACGCTATGAAGTCACGTGTGAATCATCGGGCTCGCGTCCGAATGCCATCATCACTTGGTACAAGGGAAAACGTCAATTGCGACGCACAAAGGTGAGTTGAGTTTGCGAGGGGGTGAGGTGGCAGTGGTTGGCAAAGGGTAGGGGTGATTCGCACATGACCGCAATTGACGTACTCTGCCCAACACACTTGTGGTCTACCTACCTAAGGTTGGGCTTGTGTGGGTGTTGACTGACTCACGTTCAGCTCGATAAGTTATTGTATTTGCACAGTCAAGCCACACACACTCACACACACACACACACACACACCGCAGCTCGTAACTCTTCCACAACGAGGGACTTGTGGGTGGGTAACACCCACTTGTTGTCGCTGGGCGTGGCTCACACTCGCCGCGCTCCGCACTCACCGTTTGAATAAACACAGATAATGTGATATAAACTCCACAATACACAATGTATTGCCCGGTTCCCGACCTGCGACCCCCGCCTGCGCAATCCTTTGCATTTTCTACTATTTGCAACGCTTTTCCTTTGCCATTTTCATTTGTTGTTGTTGTTGTTGCTGTGTTTTTTTTGTGCTTTTTTGTTTTAACTTTGGACAAATTTATGGGAGTTTTAGCGCAATTTTGTTGCAATTCATTTTTGTGCCGCTCCGTTGTTGACTTGCCCAGTACCCGCCCCCCCAGCGCTGCCACTGCCCCGTTTACCCACTGTCCGGAACCCAAAACAGTTGTTGTTTATGTCCATGTCCGTCCGTCTTATATGCATACTCGCTTATGCATACCGCCGCTGATTGCTTTGCCGTTTGTAGCTACACTCCTTTAAAGACCGGAAATGTTTTTCAGTAGTTTTTCACGTGGCATAAAGTTGCCGTAATGCGGCAAGCGGCCGCCCTCAGTCTAGTTTAGCCAGACAGTCGTACAGACAGTCGGACAGACAGCCAGAGAGACTGTTAGACAGACTGGCCTTTAGACATGTTATACATGCCTTTTGGTGCCTTAGTTTCCACTCTAATATGCGGACCTTGTGGGTGGGCTGTATGTGTATGGGTGTGTGTGTGTGTGTGTGTGCTGCCAGACATGTGCATATTTCGGGTACAAACTAAAGTCTAGCAACTTTATATGGGGCACGACATTAATCAACATTTGGGGCCAACGACTCGCCGACAATCGAGTTGCTCGTTGCGAATTGCAGCTAATTAGGTAGTCATGGCTTTAGCCTAAACATGCCATTTGCAATGCTCGAAATTGTTGTTAGAATATTTTTGAGGACAGTCTTACAAATGAACTTTAAACTAGGTTAAACCATTTTTAATTGTCGAAAAAAATAATATAAGGAAGGCAGTACCTGGTAATAAAAGTCCTCGAGTTAATTACAGTTTACAGTTACAGTTTGTATAGTTCTTTATAGGCAGTTTTCTGGAAGAATGAAAGAATTTTCCTAACAATTAACGTCATTTGAAGCATGGATTTATTTTTACACATATATTGACTTTATTCTTTTTTAAATAATAGAAAGGAAGTTTCGTGCTAAATTTCTCCTATTAGGAAAAACACGCTTTTCATTAGTTTCTTTAAATAATTATCTTCGATTTTTTATGTATTTTGTTTTAATACTTGGAAGAAATAAAGAAATTTTATGCTAAAGAACTTCTTTGCCAACTGTTAAGGAAACCAGGTTTTCCTCACAGTTCCATGCCATTCGGAAAGTCAAGTTTTTTCTTTTAAATATTTATAGCTTGTTTTTTTTTTCGTTTTGCCTTGGACTCTGACAGTGAAAATAACGTTTTTACGATGTGAAAGCAGGTCGCTAACTGTCCGCCTTTTAGCACCTTCGATAGGGCTTAAACACTAACACCCACTTCCCGGAGCAGCTGTATGTGAGGGCATATTTCACGCCTTTGCAGCCGTTTAGCAAGTTTTGGCGACTGGTCGCCAGGGAAGGGGGCGACACACGGTTAAAAATGAACAATTTTATGACCCGGCTACAATAGCTCAACTAATTACGTGTTGTAGTTGTTGTAGTTGTAGCTGTTGTTGTTGTTGTTGCTGCTGTTTGGCGCTATAAAATGTACCCACACAAGTCACATAAAACCCAAAGTATGCAGCAATAAATTTTAAATTGCAAACATAAAATATTTCGACAAATTTGCAAAAAAAAAAATAGCACACACACAAAGAAAACAAAGAATAATAGGAAGAACTGCGCCTCAGGACTTTTGCGTTGTAAAGTGGTGGGCGGGGAGGGGTGGTTGGGGATCGTCTACTCTTTGGTCTGAGGCCGAAACTTAATTAATGCAGCAACACATTTTCCAGGACGACATATCAAAGAACTCGACACGCTCGGAGCTGAGCTTTGTGCCCACCACAGACGACGATGGCAAATCGATAACATGCCGTGCGGAAAATCCAAATGTGAACGGCCTTTATTTGGAGACCATGTGGAAATTGAATGTCGTTTGTAAGTATTACAAATTGTGTTTAAGTCTAAAATATATATATACTGTATACGCTGAAAATAACAAAAAATAAGCATTTGCCGACAGCTAGCAGAAAGGTAGACAGCCAGCTAAATTTATTACGTCGGCGCTGTCGACGTCGTCGCCGTTGAAAGCCTTTAAAATGCAAATAAATCAAAGACAAATGACAAATTGTGAATAATTTGCCATGGGCCAGAAGGCAGCTGCCGTGCTAACAGCCCACTCTCCCAGCCCACAACCCAATCCGACCGCGGGGAGCGCCTCAGCGGCTCCAGCGCCCAAATGAAATATGTGGGCTAACAAAATGTATGGCAGCCGCTTAAATTAAATGAAGGACTTTGCGTACTCATACACCATTCCCACCGCCCCACCACCCTTCACCAAAAAAAAACTTATCAGAGTAGATGCTTTCACTATAGATCCAGCTGTTATCCATGTCTCAACAGATGCAGTTGATTGCATAACTTTAGATATTGATAAAAAAAAAATAGATCTAAACAGTAATCTATTTTATATAGTTATTTTAGGACTAATTTTAGGTTAGGTCTGTTAAAGTTGGATTGTAGCTGGTTTTGTTATACTTAAATGGAGATTTGGTTTATTTTTAATTCGGTGGGGGGGGATTTTCCAACAGAGAGCGTAGTCCAGAAGTTCTTCCATGCAATGCAGATTCTATCTGCAATTCCTTAAGAATTGAATGCAATTTATTTGGCTTTAGCTTCGTCCACTTTTTAAAATAATCTTAGAAGTAAACAATGACATTCCAAAGGTCCTATACATATGAAAGAAAGCATTGGGAAAGTATGTTAGTTTCATATTCTTTATTAACGCTTTCTTGGTATTACTTCAAATATATACTTTGGTTTATTTAAACAAATTTAACAAATAATACCTTGTGTACGATCACACTAAATATTAAATCATAGCACATATATGTATGTAAAGGAATACCAAAAATGCTATAAAAGCTTCAATAAAGCATATCAAGGTAACAAACATGTTAGCCGAATTGCTGAGCCAATGGGTCAATAGCCGCAAAGTAACTACTGCGGACATCGTAAAGTGGCAAAGTCACAGTTGAGTTTGCAGGCGAGCGGCGTTACGTATACGCCGCGTTTGCCGCTGTGAATGTATTTTATTATTTCGGCTGTGTGTACATTGTGCGCACACACACACACACACACACATAAACACAAGCACGCTCACATGTGTGTGTATATACGGCACATCACGTAATGTTGTTTCTTTGCTTTTCACATCCTCAAATATTAAATTTTTACTGCAATCTGCTGACGCAAAAAAGAAGTAAACAAAAGAAAATACACAGAAAGAAAAACATGTTGATATTAAGGCTTGACGCTTAACAAAAATATATATATAAAAGGTGTTATGATTGTATTTTTTATGCGCCCCACATACTTGTTGCCTTCCTATTTTATATTTTAGAATATTATTTTTTATTTGTTTGTTTTGTGAATTTTTTTTCTCTTAACACCGTTCGCTATATTGACGCATGTAAAATTTATGATCGGCACGTACGGCAAAGTATTCATATAAATACACCCACACACACACACACACACGCAGCAGGAACACGCTTGACTTAAAAAAAAAATAAGAAAAAAAGTAAATATATGTGTAAGTACAAATTATGCTTTATTAATTTAAGCATATTACTACAAAGCTCATCTTGAAAAAGAGCATATCAAATGAATATGCATTTTTATAATATTACTAAAGTCTTAATTAAGAGTGGCAGAGCTGATGCCTATCTTACAGGTCAACATTTAAAGCAGCTCTTTTTTCCTTTTTACAAAAAGTAACAATACGTATGAATGACTTGACAACCATTGAAAGAAATATTAAACTTCGATATGTTACCATATTTCGATAGGTTTCTATATTTAGCTAAACATTATTATGTGGAAAGAAGGGGCCTATGCCAAGCCAGATAATAGTTGCTAATTCTAGCAGGGAAGGCAAGCAAAAATTAAAATTTAATAGTTTGTTTTCTATTTAGCAATGAATATTCGGAAATTTAACTTGATGAATAATATGAAATTGGAAAAAATATACATTTTGTATAGGTCTGAGATAGGGTATCCTTCATGTTTTCTTTCTTTGAAATATTTTTAATAGCACTTATTCACAGTCTTTTTAAATGTTGTTCAACATTTCTATTAGTAGCTATAAAAAAGATTAACTGAATAACAGTTTCTCAAGGCACAGACACTGTCTTTTATATATTTGACGTAAAAGTTTTCCCTGAATATGCCCCAATTTCTGTCAAAGCCAAAATACTTATTCATAGCGCATCTTAGAGTCGCCTATGGCTATCTCAATTATATTTTTGTATTTTTAATTTGTGCACACACTTGGCAAATATGTTCCGCATCGTTTCGCATTTGTTGATCCTGATGCTGCTGCTGCTGTTGTGCTGTGTGTCATGTCCTTGTTGCTGTTGTCCCCATACGATATCTCTATTCAGCATCAAGCCTGAGTTATTATGCCAACTTCGTTTTGGCTTCTTAGGCACGGCATTTGGCAAGGCCATTTGCCGTACTTTATGCCAGGGCCGGTAGGGAGTGGGAAGAGGGTGGTCTGCTAGCTGCTGCATTCCGTACATATAATTTTCTTTATGTGTGCGCGCGATGTGTGCGTATGTGACACGCTCGTTTTAAAATTTATAATGTGGCCCCGGCAAAACAAGGAAACAGGACAACAAAGCATGCAATGCAATCACAGACATAGAGATTCCCATGAGCGCACTATAGAGACAAACTGTGTGTGTGTGTGTGTTGTTAGTGTGTGTGTGTGTGTGTGTGTGTGTGTGTGTGTGCACGTCCCTTGCCCGTTGTTTATGGCTGGGCTATATTGGCGCTTGTGCTGTGTGCGTGCCTCGCATTTTGAAAAAGCGAAAGCATCGCGATATTTTTCTCAATGCCGCAATTTGAGTTGATATTTTTAAAGTGGACGCATGCTAGAGCATAGCAATAGGGTTTATGCCCTCTAGATGATATATATGCACATCTATTGAAGATTACATAAATGTTGTTAAAGTTAAAGCCGTGTCATGTCTACAAACCCAGAACAGTTACTATGGACAGTTGTATTTTGTAGTTGCATTCGAAACCAAAGCCTTGAATAATCATAAAATAATTGTGATAATATGTAAGCAGCTCTCTAGAAAAGCGAAAAGCTTTAGCTTTTAGTAGAACCTCGGGTATATATTCAAAAAGTGAAATGTTTCCAATTAGCGTTTATTATACGACCGCCTATATGTCAAATTTGACATAGTTTTTGAAGTTTTTGAAAATCACAGTTTTAAAATCTATATTGATCGATATTATGGAAATGGGAGAGAAATTGGGATATTGGCAAAAAAAATGTGCTCTTTCTGCAGAATTTAATACATTCTTCTATTCTGCGCAACGAGTTACCCATTTTTTGTCGCTTTCATGTTTCAGGTAAGCACCTTAAGTTTTCGTGATCGACATATCGGGGTAGCTTGTTTTGTCTGATCAAGAATTTATATACCATCTGGGATTGGAGATGCTTTTTTCTGCCTCTTTCCATTTTCCATGGGCATATTCAATACCTCCTGCTATATTAAGTTAGAAAGTAATATTTAAATGTATTACTAAATTAATGCCATAGTCAAATCCAAGCTGTATTCTATTCGCGGCTAGTTAGTTAGTTTGTTAGTGCACTAGTTCAGTGAAAAAATCGCTGAATCGTGGCGCAGCCGTCGCAAATATCAAATGAGGCGACTTTCATTTGCACATAAATTACGGGGCGAAACTGAGAGGCCCGAAACTCAGCAAACCCTCGATCGATGGCCGCCCCCAGAAGCGTGGCGAGTAGGGCCACCCCTTTTTCTTTTGGCTTGGGTGGTTTTAGCAGCCTTCGGTTTGGGCGAGGTGGCAGCTAACGGTAAATGATAATCACAAAAATGGCCTGCAACATGTGTGCGGAAATACGGCGGCGCGACTTTTGGCGAAAGAGTTTTTGCTGCGGCTCCCTTTCGAGCACTTTTGCTGATTGGCGCGGCGACTGCTGCCGGCTGCCAAGTCAGACCTTTGCATGTGGCGAAGAGGAGTGTTTGGGCGGAACTGGGGTAGAGTAAAGTTTGCGAGGCCATTCTAAAGTGAGCAAACTTTTGGACCCGCTCGTCGTCGTCGCCGTCGTTGTTGTCGTTGCTGTCGTCTAACTCTTGACTGGCGCCGTTTGGCTTTGGCCGCCAATAACTCAACAATATTAAGGTTGGCACGTGCACGTCCTTCCTTCGAGGTTCTATGCTGTGTTTGTCGCAAAGTTTGTGGCTCGTTAAGCAAATTCAAACGACTTAAGCGGCAACACATGTTCACAAGCAGCGCCAGGCACAGTCAGGCCCGACCACAGCCAGGCCAGACCAGACCAGACCAGACCAGTGTGTGCGATCCTTGGCTCTTGTGCCCAGTTACCATTAGATTGTTGTTCCCATAACTCTTTGTTGATGTTCCTGTCGTTGCAGCAAATCGCTCATATTTGCAGGCATTATTAAATCAAATAGATCACTCGACTTATTGCGCAGCTGATGACACGAAAGGGGCAATCATAACATCTCTGGGACAATATGGAACTCTATAAACTGTAATGTTGAGTGTTTAGTTCGTATATTAGCTGCTTTATAGAATTGTCTACTTGCAGCAGTTAGCTAACTAACTCATTTATATACCATATTACAGAGTTTTTGTATGCTGTGAACAGAATTTCAGATAGATTTTAGCATGTTATGCAAAGGTTGTTTTTTTCTGATGTGTTAAAGGATTACACGCAAAAACAAATATATTGTTTTTATATAGAAAAAGGAACTTGATACCTTAGCGTCTTTTTTTTTCAATGCAGCTGCATATAGAGTATATGATTATAAGGACATTTGAACCACGCTTCGTACAAGTTAATATTATCTTAATTAACAAATCAGTGTTGATGACTGATGAGTCAAGTTCCACACAGTCCAATCAATAAGCTGGTGATTATTAATTATGTCAATGCATTGAATAAAAAAACCAATTATTATATTCAATTACAATTATTTGCAGTTGCTTTGCAAAGCTTTTCAAAGCAGTTATAATCAGCCACAAATCCATAATTAAAACTAATCACATAACATAATTACTCACGAATTTGTTTATTTCTCGAATCATTGCAGATCCCCCATTGGTAACGCTGCGCTTGGGCTCCACACTGACACCGGATGATATCAAGGAAGGCGACGATGTTTACTTCGAGTGTCACGTACAATCGAATCCTCAATGGCGGAAACTGTTGTGGTTACATAATGTAGGTCGCGTCAAGTCAGCTGGAAGTGAGCGCTTGTCTGTCCGCATGCTCCGCCAAATACAAACTAAACCCCAAAACCCCATTGCCGAAATTCTAACAACAATGGCAGAAGCAACTGGGCTCCAGGTCGTCCGTCAAACCAGGTCCTGTGCCAGGCTCCGAGCCGGCTGTCTGCTTGGTTGGCTTCCATTCATTTCTGTTTAAGTGTCAATAACATTGGCAAGTTGCGTATGCTCCTGCTGCTGCTGGTGATGCTACCCCCAGGATGCATTGCGCTGCATTTGCTCATTTCAATTCATTTCACACCAAGAATGGCGGTCACAAAGGTGCAAGGGGCTGGCAACCAACTCCGCAATGTGCCGTTTCGGGCAAAATAGTTTTGGGATTTGCGGCATTGATTTTGAACATCACTTTGGCTGTCGCTCACTCGCAGTCGCAGTCGCAGTCGCAGTCGCAATCGCAATCGGTGCCGCCGCCCGCAATCAATCAGCAAAGAGCACACGACTGACGTCAGCCAAGTCTCGGTGCTCAGCAGCCGTAGAATGCTATACCAGAAGCGGTGCTTCTTGTTTGCGGATGGGCTTTGAGTGGTTTAACAGGCACTCGATTGTTTCACACACACACACATACACACACATATTGGCAAATGGAAATTGCTCCGTCAGACGCAAACAAAATATGGCAGAGCGTTCTAGAAATGTCAGAGAAATAGAGATTTTGCCTTTTACTATTTATTTATACTTTAATTGTTCAAAGAGGTCAATTTTAGGTTGGGTGACTCGAATTCCAAAAACTAGATTTTGTGACAAACAAAAAGAATCTTTAAAGGATTGAAAACCTTTCTCAGCACTCCCTATTTTGAGAGAGGCCCTATGAATTGATTAATTAAAAATACAATTCAGTATTGATATTCCTTACATTGAGAGAGTTCCGAAAGGTGTTTTAAAAATAATACCTTATACTTATTGTCTTTAGAAATCATTTTTATAAGCTAGGTGTTATAAGAACCGATCTAACGCTGGGAGCGCTAGTCTTCACGAATATAAATATATATGTAGAGCTCTGAAGAAACAAATTTTAGTAAAAGCAAATGCAGAATTGCCTAGCATAGATAAAGTCTGCCACCATCCAGACTGAAAGCATTGACCATGGAAGGTTAAACCAGAGAATCCCTTTATTTTCTCCATATTCGCCATAATAATAACTTTGTTTTGTCGTCAACAATAAATATTTATACTTTATATGATTCTCATGGTTGCTTTCAGGGCATTCACTTGGAGCACAATACATCGGCTCGTGTCATACGCTCCAATCAGAGCCTGGTGCTGCAGAAGATAACGAAACACTATGCGGGAAATTATGCGTGCAGCGCCATCAATGATGAAGGCGAAACGGTCAGCAATCAGTTGCCGCTGCGTGTTAAATGTGAGTATACAAATATTCAGGGCAGCATTACGATAGAGGTGTGAAGAGTGAGCCGGAGAGATGGCATAGATCAAGCAGCCTGTGCATGCCATAATCCTAGAAACTGTTGTCCTGCTGCCAGTTTATGTTTTGTCTGCATCAGTTGGCATTACGAGTAATATGGCTGGCACTTTGTTTGAATGCGTCATCTATCTGGCAGACAGCCTCGCCCGCGCCCGCGCCCGCGCCCGCTCCGCCCATCCCATTCATGCTTTTCTTATCATAAAGTCAGACAGCGACGTTGTCGTTGCCGTCGTTGTCAAGCTGCAGCTTCTGCCCTGCCTCATGCCACGCCCATGCCGCATTTGATGTATTGCATATTTTTTTTCCATATTCTTTTTTATTGTTGCTCTTGGGCTCAACTCGAGTTGAGTCGTCTCGCTGCGGCACAGTTGCGCAAGTCAAGGCTGTGAAAATATTTTTCATTTCGCTTTTTGCATAAATACAACATTTTGCCAGCGCACCGACCCGCAGCCCCGCATCGGCCCTTTCGCCTTATCTGGAAAATCCAGTCGCTTTTCATATGCTTGCCACATGCGTTGCCTCATATTTCATTGCTGCCACTGCTGCCACTGCTGCTGTTGCTGCAGTTGCAGCTGCTCCGGAATTATGCTTCAATTTAAATGGCCGCGAAATGTTGCCAACTCTTTTTCCTTTTCTCTACATCTTCTTATTCCTCACTGTCGGAAGAAGCTGCTGCATGAGGCAGCTGCGCTTTAATTCGAGCAATTTGACAAGCGCCTCCGCTCGGCTCCTGATCGCGCTCATAATGAGCTTCGCAGCCGGATTTAGCGGTTAGTCTGTCGCCTCTTGTTGCCTCTAAGCGTTACACATGTTGCAACAACAAGCTGCTCTCCAACTCAAGTGGCGCTGTTCCGCCCCCCACATGCAGCTAGACAGACGCATTGCCTCGGGCCATAAATTAAATGGCTTGGCGACGCCAGCGTCGACGTTGCTGCCAACTTCGCTGCAGACAGCGGCCACTAACATTTTGGTTTTTGTTTAAGCCCTAAAGCATTTGCAGCTTTAACAGCTACTATTTGAACAAATGTTTTAACATAATTGATGGTAATCTAACTAAAAATGTTACTTGTTCTTTGACAAAATAATTATTATCAGTTGATACGCAAATTAGATCTTAGAATCATTTTCTTTATAATATCTTAGCAGCTTATTTGGTTGACAAGTTGTTTATAACTAAACCAAGAGCTGTTAAGTTGAGTTTAAAGGATTTAGTTGGCTTAAATTTTACACGGTGCAACAAGTCTAGCCTTTAATCATAAGAATAAGCTTTGCTTTAACGTATTGATCATGAAAAGAAAAGAACAAAAAAGACCCTGCACGTTGAAAATGTACAAGAAAATGTTTACAATAGAACATTTTTCTATATATTCCACTTGTAGAAGGTTCATCATGTTATTATTTATTTACCCTGTAGGGTAGTTTGCTTATACCCTGAACCCATTAAAAATGGGTATAAGGGTATATTGTATTTGTGCAAAATCCAAATGTATGTAACAGGCAGAAGGAAGCATCTCTGACCCCATAAAGTATATATATTCTTGATCAGCATCAATAGCCGAGTCGATCTAGCCATGTCCGTCTGTCTGTCCGTCCGTTCGTTTGATGTTGGAAGAAGAGGGTTCAGGGTATCCCCCAGTCGGAAGCTCCCTCCTCTTACTTGTTATATGTTAATTTCATAATGTTTTTTATTAAGAATAATACAATTAGAAGCATTTACTTGATTTCATTAATCTGCGCACACTTTTAGCAAAGATTAAGCACCATTAATACAATTAAGATTAAGCTCGAGATATAATCCCATAGACAAGGCCAATTGTCGTCTGAAACTCATTCAATGCGGCATGTGTAAAATTTCCCCTGCCAACAATTCGTTTGATGTCATTGAACTTTTCTGTTTGTACAACAAAGGGCAACAAGTGCTTTGGCAGTGCTGTCTCGAGTGCTGGCTAATTAGCTGGCGACGACTGATCAAACAGCCCTCGTGAACTCGCAATTTAAATAAGCAACAGGAAAAGCAACAACAAAGAGGGTTGTTTTTGTTTTTGGCTAATTAATTACGCCCTTTTGTAAATTTTTAAGACAAACAATTCATCAAAAATTCAGCTTGCCTGACTGCTAATGCGTTTGGTTTGGTTTGGTTTCTGTGAGGGCAGGTGGGCTGCTGGGTGGGTGGGTTGGTGGGCTGGCAGTGGTAGGCAGTGGGGCGTTGACAAAAGCGTAAAATTACGCATACGCCACGTGTGCTGTCAGCTAATAATCCTTTAACATTTATGAACGCCTTATTTACCTGCGAGTACTAAATCATGTTGCCACATCAATTAATTTCAAGTAAACAAGGACGTCGCGTTGCCACTCGACGGCTCTTCGCGGCGTTGCCATTGCCTCTGACACTGACTGACTGCTATGGCCGCCCTCCCCTCGAACCACCCACCGCAACTGCCGCTCCTTTTCTCCATGCTGCGCGCCTACTCTAACAGATGAGTGGGCGGCCCTGCTGTCTAAATCACTTTTGTGCGTTTGCCTCAACGCGCCGACAACTTACCACAGGCAAATGCGTTGCCTCATTTTTCAGCGTTTTCTTTTATTTTCTCTTTTTCACAACATTTTCCTTTATTCTTATGCCACCCATACGAAGTTTGTCCTTATATGTGTACGGCCTTGCTGAATGTAATTTCCATTATCTTTAGTAAACTGATTTTATAAGAATTTTAGGTGGCAGTTTTTAGTCAAGTTTATAAAAGTGAAAACCTACTCACTTTAATATATGCAAATCTTTTATATATTTTTAAAGAACATAGTCTTATTTTAGTTTGCTTAGTTTCCCCATTAATTAATTATATTGTCTTTTATTCTCTTCATATCAGACACGCCTGTTTGCAAGCACACGGATCGCGTTATACTAATTGGTGCCTCCAAGGATGAGACTGTTGAGGTTATATGCGAGATACAAGCGGATCCGCCGCCACGGTGAGTTTTAATAACAACAACAAATAAAAGGGGGACCTGCTTACGAAGAAGGGCTGCTCCTTCGCTTGCCTGTGGCAGAACTTTCTCTTTGCTGCCCTTTTTTTTAGGCAATTGCTTCCGGTTTCCTGTTGAATGGATGTTTGCCAAATTGACAAATGACTGTAATTGTGTGAGTGTGTATAAGTGTGCGTGTGGGTGGGTGTGTGTAACGGAAAATGCTGTTTATATTTTAGGAAATGTATGAAATTCGACAATATTTTGATTTTGCCGACACTTGAAAGCTTTGTCCTCAGCATGCCTTAAATGTGAGCACTTTAATTTATTTTAAATATGCAGTTGCTGCTGTTGGTGTGAGGAGGGTGTGTGTGTGTGTGTGAGAGCTGGACGCTGTTAATTCACATTGCCACATTTGCCCCACTTTAATGTTTTTTTAATGAGCCCGCCGCCGCCTTGGCACCACAGCGCACCGCTGTGGCCTGTCGAGCGACTTTATGTCTGCCTCTCCCTCGCCCTCGCACCCACCATGTTCGACTTTCCCTACGTCTGTCCAGCTGCCTTGTCTTGTATTTAAATTCAATTTTTCCTTCTGTCTCGCTTTTTTGTGTTGTTGGCTTTTCTTTTTTCGTTGTCTGTGGCTAAGTCTTGAGTTGACGCTTTATGCTAAAATAATTAATCATTAGCTGGCGCAAAATATGCGCGTTGTTGCCGCTGGCAGCGCAGCTGCCTCGTGTAATTGTTGTGGTAGAGCACAACTATCGAGGGGTGTGGCGGGTGGCAATCTTGCCTTGACTGAGGGCGTTGCTCAGCGTGAACATTAAAAAAGCTGCTGCATACTTAAGGGGGGGACTTCGCGCAGCCGACCAGCCCGAGGTGGGCGGCTACAAGTTAATTTATCAGCATTTAACTGCTTGACAGCGATGCCAGCTATTTTTTCGTCTTCTTGTTTTTTAATTTTTAAATTAAAGTATCATGTAGGGAGAATTGCAAATCAGCGGCTAGAATGAAAATTTAGGTGAATATCCTTCAAGCAATTTTAAATTTGATTTAAAGAAAACTTCAAACTTCAAAACTAAAATTGAACAAAAATGTGATCTGCATTTTACTTGCAATTAACTTGCAATATAATTTTATGATATTTAAATATCTTTACGATGTGCACGTATTTTTAAAGAATAATAGAAAAAGTACTCTCAACAGCTTCGCTTTTCTTCATTAAATAAAATCGTTTAAAATAAATACGAAGTCACACAGATTAATTAATTTTTTGAATTTAATATATATTTTTTCTGTCAAATATAGTTAAAATTTCTGTCATATATATAAATATTTGTATACGGCTTTTATTAATTTATGAAGGCAGTGAGAAAAGCGAAAGCGTCCAACCGAATATGCCAGAGATAATTAACCTTTTAAAAGGCTTTCCATGTGCGAGGACTCAACTCTTTAGCTCGACAGACTGGCTGTGATATTATGTGTGTGTTTGTTTGTGTGGGTGTGTTTAACCTTTAATATTTTAACGAGCTATTTTAAAAATGTAAAACTTTCCAAACATGTCTCACTTGCTGGCCATCCCGCTGCCCCATTGGACTCGCCTCACTGTTCCGATACGGCTTTCGGCTGGACTGATGTTTCTGCCTTTTGCACGCGCTTCCTACTGACAACGCAACTGTCAAAATGTCAACGCAACACAAACAACAACAACTACAACAACAACCATAAAAATAAAACAACAAACATGTGCAGAACATTTCGCTGGAAGTTTAACAACTCGGGCGAAACTCTGGACGTGGGCAGCGAACGATTCAGCGTGAATGGAAGCCGCAGCATTTTAAAGTACACTCCGGTCACAGATCAGGTAAATAACTACCCCGACCAATTAAGCGACACACATTCAGCATAGTCGTTGCCATTCACATAAATATATATACATATGCATACATACGTACATACATATATATATATTCACATATAAAAGTACTTATATTTACATATTTTTGACGTATTTGCAGGATTATGGTACACTATCCTGCTGGGCGGCTAACGAGGTGGGCACACAACAACAGCCCTGCCTCTTCCAAGTGGTTTTAGCTGGTAAGCGCACAGTAGCTCAACCGTTTTAATGAGTGCTCACTGTAAAGGCTGCTACGTTTATACATACCATAGCATTAGTTCCTTTAGTTTGACAGCTGCAAATAGCTTTTTTTATATACAAAGATTCTGTTTGCGTACTTCATTTCTGAATTGTTTTTAATAAGGAGTTATTTTTTAAGAATTTTTATTTTTTGTCATCAATCAAATGCTTTCGTCATAAGTAAATTAATAATATAGGATATTAAAATAATATATTATAGAATAAGATATAATATATTAAAACTTACTAGAATACAAAATAGCTTACTATAATATAATAATATCATAATGGAATAATAGAAATTATAAATAAATCATATTTTTAGCTGCCCCGCCTGGTTCCTAGATGACCACTATATCCTTGGTTACGCCATGCCATGGATATAGTCCTGGTGAACCTAAAGGACCCAATTCCTTTAAAATGTACAAGGAAATGGTCTAAAAATTTATGTATGACTCTTCCACAGCCCCTCTCCATGGTTCCTAGTTGACCCCAATATCCTTGGTCATGCCGTGCCATAGATAAAGTCCTGGTGAACCTAAAGGGCCAAATTCTTCTGAATTTCGCAAGGAAATGGCCAAGATATGTATGCATGCTCTTTTGAGACACACCCAGTAGCCACGCCCCTTCGGATGTCCTTTAGCCAACAGATACAAAAAGGACAGTCATGCTCCAGACTCTTAGATGACCCCCTAATCTTCTGATGCAATTTGATGCAGTTAATCTTTACGATCATAACGCATCAAGGTTTTTGAAAATCGGCAAGGATATGACCGAGTTATGACTATTTTTCTGAAAAGGATGTTGACACAAAATCGGCCATAACTTGGCCATTTCAAGTACTATCCTGATGTCCTTTGGCCAACAGATTGTCATTTTACGTCCAATTAAAAAAATTTAACAAAAAGGACGAAAGTCCTTTTGAGAGCTGAGAAAAGAGGACATTTATGTATACAGTTAAAGTCTTATGACGCGGCCATATCCTTGCGTATCCTGATGAGTCCTGTGTCAAACATTGGGCATGGGCTAGGACTATAATGTGGCCAAAGGACATCTTTCTAGTCCTTGTACTTTTCCATCTATGGCTACTTTTCTATACAGGACATTCTTTTTATAGCCATAACTCGGCCAAATCCTTAAGGATATCGGAAGGATATACTTTTTTGAGTTCGTGGGGAGCAGATCTATCGATTTGCATTCAAGGATTTCCAGGATTCGACAAAAAAATTTTCTATAATTTCTGTAAGGGGGTTGGTCAGAAAATCGAAAATTTCAGGACTAACTTCGCCATTTGAAGGACTATCAGGATGTCCTTTGGCCAGTAGATAGTCCTCATCATCCCATTGAAGAATATACAAACCGAAGGACGATAGTCCTTCAAACAGCTGAGAAAAAAGGACTTTTTTATAAACAAAAAATAGCTCATAACTCGGCTATATCCTTGAATATCCTGACGAGTCCTGTGTCAAAAAAATTGTATTGACCAGGGCTACCAACTGGCCAAAGGACATCCAAATCGTCCTTTTAGTTTCCGAGATATGAAGGATTTTGTGTCAAATGACCATTTCCCTGCAATCCGGGACTGAAAAAATGGCCAAGTCCAGGATTCTTAGATGACCCCCTAATTTTTTGATGCAGACCGATGCGCTTGGTCCTTACGAGCCTAACGCACCATGTCCTTTGAAAATCCGCAAGGATATGGCCGAGTTATAAGCATTTTAAGACACAGATTTAATTTGGACGGCAAACAATAAAATATTGCATACCCAAAAGGGGCATTTTTTGGGATCACTTATTTTCGCGATTTTTTTTTAATTCTGCATAAGTACCAGGCCAACAGAATTGATCAGAAGGTCGACAAAAATAGGGAACGAAAAATTTCATTGCATACCCAAAAGGGGCGCTCAAGTCAGCGGCTGGGTCGCGAGCGAAATTTTACTAAAATACCAGGCGAACAGAAATGTCTAGCAGGCAGACGAAAATCTTGGAATGAAAAAAATCAATGCATACCCAGAGGGGCAAAAATGTTTTGCTCAAAATTAAATGTGCCCCTTTTGGGTATGCAATATTTTATTTTTTGCCGACCAAATTAAATTTGTATTTTAAAATGCTTATAACTCGGCCATTTCCTTGCGGATTTTCAAAGGACATGGCGCGTTAGGCTCGTAAGGACCAAGCGCATCGGCCTGCATCAAAAAATTAGGGGGTCATCTAAGAATCCTGGACTTGGCCATTTTTTCAGTCCCGGATTGCAGGGAAATGGTCATTTGACACAAAATCCTTCATATCTCGGAAACTAAAAGGACGATTTGGATGTCCTTTGGCCAGTTGGTAGCCCTGGTCAATACAATTTTTTTGACATAGGACTCGTCAGGATATTCAAGGATATAGCCGAGTTATGAGCTATTTTTTGTTTATAAAAAAGTCCTTTTTTCTCAGCTGTTTGAAGGACTATCGTCCTTCGGTTTGTATATTCTTCAATGGGATGATGAGGACTATCTACTGGCCAAAGGACATCCTGATAGTCCTTCAAATGGCGAAGTTAGTCCTGAAATTTTCGATTTTCTGACTAACCCCCTTACAGAAATTATAGAAAATTTTTTTGTCGAATCCTGGAAATCCTTGAATGCAAATCGATAGATCTGCTCCCCACGAACTCAAAAAAGTATATCCTTCCGATATCCTTAAGGATTTGGCCGAGTTATGGCTATAAAAAGAATGTCCTGTATAGAAAAGTAGCCATAGATGGAAAAGTACAAGGACTAGAAAGATGTCCTTTGGCCACATTATAGTCCTAGCCCATGCCCAATGTTTGACACAGGACTCATCAGGATACGCAAGGATATGGCCGCGTTATAAGACTTTAACTGTATACATAAATGTCCTCTTTTCTCAGCTCTCAAAAGGACTTTCGTCCTTTTTGTTAAATTTTTTTAATTGGACGTAAAATGACAATCTGTTGGCCAAAGGACATCAGGATAGTACTTGAAATGGCCAATTTATGGCCGATTTTGTGTCAACATCCTTTTAAGAAAAATAGTCATAACTTGGTCATATCCTTGCCGATTTTCAAAAACCTTGATGTGTTATGATCGTAAGGATTAACTGCATAGGGCTGCATCAAAACAATATGATGTCATCTAAGAATCCAAGGCGGCGGCTTTTTTGCTTTGCGCGGAACTTTCAAATGAAACCCATAACAGCTAAATAAAAACGCATTTAAATGTTCAGTATTAAATTTAACTTTCGTTATGTTTATAATACGATAAATGTCATTTAGCAAAAAATGTTGCTTAGCTTAGCGTCAACTTGGCCACTTCGTTCTCCAGGGTGTTGGCCGGCTCTGATAGAATATCCTTAGGCATCGATAGGCACCTTTATTGTTGCGTAGAACGAGAAAGTTATATAAGTTTGTTATGTCAAGAGAAATGGGTCTAGGAGTACTTACCAGGTCACAGATTAAGCGGCCGGAATGATGCACCCGGAGAAAGGCGGTGGGTCGAACGCAGCTCATTCAAATGGAAACAGTGGAGATGTGAGACCGGAGTGGCGTCGGGATGAGTTTGAACAAGTTAGAAGAGTTGTCTACGGAATTCCCAAGAATTTAGATGTCCGATTTATTTGTATGTGTAGCAATGTCTTAAACCATTTTCCTTTCAAAGACAAATAATATTTACTAATACATTGGAAGAAGAAAAAACAAATCGTATTTTGATAAGTCTTTAAAATAAATCTTACGAAATAAAAAAGTTATTCAACAAAGAACTTAGTTTTCAAGTTATGTTTCTAGTTGAATTCTGTGGTAGAGTATTCGGCCGACTCCGACATTCCCATAGTCTGCAACTGACAGGACACAGGGGCTATCTACAGGCTATCGATTGAGTGTGGGCTAGAGGCTTGCACTTTTCAGATACTTTTTTTCATAGTATCTTTCAGATACATGTTTTCTTTCTGCATCATTTCTGACTCAGATATATATTTTTTAAATTTAGACTCATTCATTAAAGTTCTTTTTGATACTTGTGTCTCTCTCAAATACTTTAATAAATATATTTTAGAAACATTTAAATATATCAGATACCTGAGCATCTTTTAGATCATTTTAAAACTTTTATACCTTTCTTATCACATTGATTATATATTATTTTGTAGACACTTTTGTTTTTTACTGCTTGTAATTTATTTTTATATATATCTCACAGATCCTTTTAGCAGCAAAAACCTTTCTACTGTCATATACTTTTGAAAGCTATCTGAGTTTTTACTTATTGTATAAACATAGCAAATGTTACGTGCGCGTCTGTCTGTTTCTTGAGTATTTGCTTTTTGACCCCAACAAGTAAAGGCCTCAAGCAAACACTCACATGGCCCTCACTGACTCTTACTTTAAACCCGAAACAAACAGACCAGAAAGTGAGTGCAACAATCTGGCTTTGTCAGCATTACCAATCCAAAAAAAAAAAAAAGAAAAATGAGAGAAACATTTTATATATTTCCTTTTCTCTGTATTTCTTGTTAATTTGCTGCACAACCTGCGCACGTTGGACAACATAAATCTGATTCCGACAACCCCGATGCCCAACTTGCAGCTCTGCCAAATGGCGTCAGCAATTGTAGCATCTTCAATCGCACAGAGCTCAGTGTTGACATACAATGCATACCCGGCTACGACGGCGGTCTGCCTCAAATATTTGTACTCGAAATGTTTTCAACACGCACCGGCATTACCAGGTAAGCATATTAATCAGCTACTCGTACAGCCCGACAGCTACACAAACACACACGCACGGACAACACGTTGCTTGTCGCCGACAACGGTTCGTCCCGCCCCTCTCTCCTCTGGCACGCTTATAAGCGGATTACGTTTGGCAACTTTGCTTAGCCCCCTTAAGGCTCAGGTTTTCACCATATGTCAAATAACTGAGAATATACGATTTAATATTGCCTCAGGCGAAACCAAGTGGGTCGGGAGTGTATTATTATAAGTTGGCACTAATTTAAGATCTACTTGAAATAAGTATGGCAAAAACGAAAAGAATGCCAAGAGGACAATAGCAAAAAAATACTGTTCAAGCTATCAAAAGCTATGTGACGTTTCACGTTAGCAGAAAATGAGATGAAACTTTTCGCAAAATATTTTATGATGAAGCACATGGAATTTAGTTTAACTGACTATTAGAAAGAATTTCTCATTACATTACAGAGAAGTAAAGTAGTAAAAAAGGGTTTGCTGCAGTTTAGAGAAGGAATTGTAAGTTTGCAGAGAATATTATGATTTTGTCATTTAATGTGCAACGATTAGAAGAAGGAGATTTCTCTGCATAACAATAGTATAACATAGCTGTGTTTGTTAGTCCATCATTATTAAATTTTGCATAGTTCCGTCAAAATATCCTGGCACAGGCGTTTATTGCCTCACAAATTAGCTTGCATCTACAAATGCTTTTACTTTTTACAGATACCTTTGGTTGCCCACAGCCTGCTTTATATGGTTCATAATACATGAGCTATTAGTATATGTGAATGGTCACATTCACACACATATATACACAATATATAAAGTGTATCTGCACTTGACAGCTACCATTAAGCGATACCAGCAGAATATTATTCAATATCAGTTTCAGTTTGACAATTGTGTGTATGGAGCGAATTGAAGGGCGGGTGGGATGAGCCGTGCTGTCCGGTGTGCGTGTGCGTGTGTGTGTGAGACAAGTGTTTGGCACATCAGCATGTGTGTGTATGCTCCTTGGGGGAGCGTGTAATTAGGCGTAAGAGAGGGCGCTTCTAGCCAAGTTCACCCTCCACTCAATATTGTGTGAGCGACAATCAACAATTTATATGCATGTCAAATGGGTATTTAAAAAAATGCGCATTTTTATTACGGCCCAAGCCCTAAATCGTCGAATCGTATTCATATGCACACATAACATTATGCGACAGCATTGTATAAATTTTCTGTCAGTTGCCCTCGAAACGAGACAAAACCAAAAACATTTCATAAATATTGCTTATTAAAACAATGACACTGACCCGCGGGGGGAATGATGAAAGCAGCCCCAGCAATATCAAAGGACCCTTATTCAAAAAGATTGCGCCAAAACGCAACAAACGTCGTCATCAATGTAAAAATGTTTGTTAAGGCAAATGGCATACGGGAAATAAGAGAAAAGAGTTAGCGCCAGAATACAGAAGCTTGAATACACTGCAGTATGGTAAACTAAGGCCAACAAAAGGTAGGAGATCAATTAAATTAGTTCAATTCAAAATATTAAACACAGCTGAGTAGTAATACAATTCAAAGGTCGTGGAAATTTAGAAAACAATTTTTAGATATGGTATAATACTAAAAAAAATTGAAAATTCATTCAACATCTATAATATAAATATGAAAATATAAATGCATGCTTAGAATTCAAAAGTTATTTATTTTAAGGTCATTTCTAAAAATTTCAATTAAATAATTTTGCTTGTATAAAGACATATTTCGTGTTAACGTGTCACATACTGCTGCAGAAATTGCTAATATCCTTGGCAAGGGCATTAAAAGGATGAACGAATGATGTAAAATTTATATAGACATTGAACCCTAATATTTCAGAGTTTGGCAAAAACAAAAGGGCGACCGAGACAAGAGACAAGTGAAAGCCGCAACAAGGCAAAAGGCATCAAATTTAAATTGAGGTCATGATTGGAGCATTCCTTCGGTTGGGTGGTTTTGGTCTTCATTTGTGGGTTAGGCTTTGAGGTTGGTTGACTTGGGCCATGGTCCAAGGCATAAATGTAGAAAGGCGTAAGCTGCCAAAAATATATATACAAATATATTTGTTCTTGGCGGGGTTTTGTGCCATCCTGACATTTGATTGCACATGATTAAAGGCTTAGAGCTGTTGATTTGCCATGCTGATTTAATAACACATAATAATATGCTGGGGCCCATCTCTTTTTTTTCAGACTTAATCTAACCAATGCGGAGGAGGCGCTCTTCTCGCTGGAGAATCTGGACACGCTCACATCGATGATGATGCAGGAGAATAACTCGCTGAGGATGCGCATTTACTCTTACAATCAAAAGGGACGCAGTGCGGCATATCTCTTGCCCGATTTCATAATTGGCTCAACAGCTTACAAGACAGGTGAGTGGCACCCACAAAAACACACACCCGCACACACACATACTCATACATGTGTGTGTGCTAGCTGGCTAGGCTTGATTGATAGATGGGAATTGTAAGGCTGCTGCTTGCATTTGACACATGAAGCTGCTGCCTTCTGGCTGACTCTGCCTGCAGACTGCTGCTTTTCAGTGATTTTATGTTTTAATCCCAGGCCAGGGTATCCAACTTGCCCTGACAGCCCCGACCTGGGGCGAGTGTGTGTCTTCCACATATGGTGGCAACACTTGACAGGTACCATTATCATCTGCAGTACTTACATAATCAACATGCCTGCCTCATGGGCCGCATTTTGATGGCTTAAAATATATGTAAAATTACTGTTTTGATGTGCCAAACTGCACTTCAGTAGGAACATGGCCACGCACAGTGGTTGCATACAGGGAGAAATATGTATGAAATTTATTTAATATATAAATTAGTGCATTGATTTGCATACTCACAGGCAAAACTAGCACCACACTCAATAATGTATTTATTTTTAGTTTATAGAAGCTTTAAAATGTTTATTATTGAGAGAGGGCAGAATTCTTCAAAATATTTTGGTGATTTTTTCAAGATAATTATAATATTAAATGGCAATTTGCTTGAGTTTGTTAACTTGGTTTCTGGGCTTATTAATAATCGAAAAACGATTTGCTCAACCAATCTACAATTCCCATTTTGTTTTCTATTTTTTGCATAGTGCGTTCTTTCACTGTGCACTTGCTTATGCTGTTTAATGGTATCTAAATAAATTAATGAAGTTTTGTTTTCCATTTAAATACATTGTACGTGCCACTGTACAGTTGCCAAGATAACTCATACCCACTTTTTGCCAAATCTTCTCATTTTCATATCGTTGACACAATTCGCCTAAAAATAAAACTGTCAAACGACAAACAAACTGAATGGAAACGCCTCCCTGTTACATGTGTGCAATATTTGCGATGTCCGATGTGCGTGGTGCGATGGCAATCTATCTAAAACCGACGATGATTTATGACCGACGATTGTCAACCTGTAATTACGACAATAACCGATGACAACAATAACAACGATAACAACAGACGACGATGTGACGCTAACATTGTCCCCGGTGATTGTTGGCAGCGTTCTGACCATCATAATTATTGGGGTGGCCATCGCGATACGAATATTTCTGGTAACATTCGTGCACAATTTGCGACGCAACCGGCCACATGGCAACAAGGCGACATCAGCGGGCGTTGTCGTCCAAGCGGCCGATGTCTTCAAGGTGAGCACACATACTCCTTCTATCCTACCTGACACTCGAATGCAATTAAAATAACGTTTGGCGACATTTTGCAGAGCGGCAACCTGGAGAAACCGCGCTGGCAGCACACTGATATAAAAACGAAATCATCGGAGGATTTGGTCGAAGACGAACGTGATCCAGATGTAATACCCTCACAATATGGTAAGCTCATAACAACAACAGCCTGACGCTCACTACAAATACTTTTCGGGCACATAAGCTAATTCAGGCAGTTTATAAAAGTTTTTGAGAATGTCTGAAGATAATTAGTTTAAGCATCACAACTGTTAAGTACTAGCTTTAAGTTAAGGGTATTTAAGAATTTAACCAAGACAAGAGAAGAAATTCGAGTCACACGGATTTTATAGTGCGACAACGTGCACTTTGATCATTCAGCTTTAATCAAATTTTATGGTTACTTTTCTGACATTTACTTTCATGTGTCTCGCTATCGCTGCTATCGCTGATGCTTGCTCGGCGGACAACATCGCGTAATCGTAATCAATCTCATCAACACACAACAATACCGACCGACAAACCAAACATGCTGCGACCCCCCGCCAAACCAATCCAAACCGACCCAAACCGAACCGAACGGAACCAAAACCAATCCAATCCAATCAACGGATGCAATTTTCTTTTAATCGTAAATATTTTTAACGATGGCATACGCCAATCTAAAACGCCACCGCATCCTCATATGACCACCGGACTCGGACTCGGACTCGGACTCGGACTCGAATCTCGTACGCGAATGCGAACGCGAACTCGGACCCCAAACGTGGCACCATCATCAATAAATTTCAATCGCACAGTGGGCGGCAGCAGCGCCGGCAGCAGCGGCAGCAATGCCTCCAATGTGGGCAGCACCACAGCCGGCACAACCACCGGCAGCAACACATCGACAGCGGTCGCCGCAGCTGTATCCGCAACCGACCGCGATGCGCATCAGTTTGCTGCGGCAGCAGCTCCAGCAGCGACGTCGTCTGCCGTTGGACTCGTTGGCAGCATTTCCAAATGGTCACCCAATGGCAATGTAAGTAACCCAGCCCTGTATTACGAATGAGCAATATTTATATCTTCAACTATTTTTTATTGGCTTTGTGCAGTTTCAACTATCTATCGCTTTAATTAGTCTTTTAAGGTGCAAATACCATAAGGGTTTATTCGAAAATCAAATCCAGTTTGGAAAACCAGCAAAAGAAAAATACGATAAACTAATCAAAGTGCACAAAAGTTACAAAAAGTCACATATTGAGAGATATAATTAAAAACAAGTAAGAGGTTTTAGTCGGAAGCTCTCGACTAGGGGATACCCTGAACCCTCTTCTTCCAACATCAAATGTATAAATATATTCTATTTTAGAAGCTATTTGTTAAGTTTGGTGACTCTAGCTCTAATTATTTACCAACATTTCCCAGGATATCTTACAAGTTTTTACAAGTCTATAGCTCTTATGTGTTCTGAGATCCTTGCGTTCATACATACGGACGGACAGACAGACGGACATGGCTAGATCGACTCGACTATTGATGCTGATCAAGAATATATATACTTTATGGGGTCGGAGATGCTTCCTTCTGCCTGTTACATACATTTGGATACAATATACTCCTATACCCATTTTTAATGGGCTCAGGGTATAAAAAGGTCTATTCGAGCAGAACAGGGAAAAGATTTGGGACCAATGATTGCCTTTAGATTTGCATTGCCATTTGATTGAGTCGTCGATTTTGCTTTTTTTTCTACTTTTACTTTCGTTTTTATGAAAGTGTAGATATGAGTCTCGTATCAGTTCTGGTTATTATTTAATCGGGCTTTCGGGGTCTTTTTCTTTTTCACACCAAAACCAATCAAATACCCAAATTGCCAAATCGCTAAGCAAAAGTGTGGACAACCACAGCGCGGGCGATCAAATTCCAATTCCAATCGCAAGCCCCCATAAAGGCGAAACCTCAAACTCAAGCCTCAAAGCATGCCAAAGGGTGTTTATTAAAAAAAGCTTTTAAACTGTCAGAGCGCACGTCTTGTTGCTCGCCCCCATTCAGCAGTTATAAATAAAAGCCATTGGCTAAGACTGAGTATAATGCGGCAAGCATTTTTGTATTGCAACCAGCAACCAGCCAACAGGCAACAGACAGCGACAAGGTAATTGCGAGTTCCTTTCTTTATTTCGCCCATTTACAAACACAATACATCATGTCGAGCTACCCATAATCAATCAATATTTTCAGTATTTATATTGCTTAACATTCTTTGGCTGCCTTTCTTAACTAGCTGAATGAGGTGGGGGGCTTTATGGGGGGGAAAGGTAGGGATTTTGTGGCCGTAAATCAGTTCAATGTGATTGAATGTGCAACATGTGTGCGCTGTAAGTTTCATGGAAGAGAATAAAGAATCGAGTTGCCTAACAATTTCGGAATATGCAAAAGTTAGCTGCGTTAAATTTAAATGAAAATACAAAAAAAAAAAGGAATTATTGAAAAGTGAGTAAAATATTGGGGAAAGTATTGATAACTTGAAAATGATATTACTTTTAATTTCAAATGTATTATGTGAATATTTCTAGTTAACATTTTGTTTTGTGAATGTTATTTAATTACTGAATATATAATTGTGAAAGGAGGCGTCTCTTAAACGGGGATTAATAATATTTGGTATGATTATCATCAAACAAAACTTAAATCCAATAGTTGATATAGCAAATATATGATAATCAAGCAATACTTGTACAACTCGATACCAAATAGGTAGACAGACAGTGGGACATGGTTGAAATGGCCTAAATTTATATTTTTACATAAATTATATTTTTTCTCCTCCTGCCTTGAAATAAGCTGTTCATTGTTTTTGATGCATACAAATAATATTTACATGCATTTGAAAAATATATTTATATCTATAATTCTTCAGCTAATGCCTATATGGCGAATTGGCTTAGTGAGCCTTTTGTAGCTTGTTTAATATTTTATATATTACGTCCATTAAACAGAGACCGCAAATTAAAGCTTTTGAATAGCAAAAACAATTAAAACATTTATGCACAATTATAATTTTAATAAATGAATACATTTTCGACCAATGTTTGCACTATTCATAATTTCTATGGAATTTTCGTTTTATTTGAGCTTAAATTATAAATTCGAGATAGGCGCAACTGTGTGACCATTTCGCTCAGCCATTTGTTTTCATTTCATTAAATTTGCAATTAGAGTTCATTTATGGATTTTGCGACTAGTCTAAATGCCAATGGCATTATCATAAGCTGTTCCGAGTGCGATTAGAGTGCTGCTCGTAACCATATGCCACTGACAGACCAACTGCCCCAATAAATATATATTATATCTATATATATTTATGCATGTATATGGCAAATTTCAATAATCTGCCAAAAAACTGATTGTTGCCACACCCAGCAAGAAAATCCCATTCGGAATGCCAGGCAAAATGCATGTTTGGCAAGTGGAAGCTCTCTAGTCGGGAATGCCCGATTGGAATATGCCCTGTAGCCAGTTCCAAGCTTTCATTCAAAGCATTCGAACTTCCATGAAATTTGAAATCAACAAAACATATAAAAAGGGGTAGATCGACTCTGTTGTTGATACTGAGCAACAATTTGTATAATTTGCGAGCTCGAAAGAAAGCTTCATGCTAGCAGTTGTTTTACATTTTCCCCAAACAATTCTACCCCGTCTTTAGGCTATAAAACAGGGTGTAAAAATACCCCGAAAAAATAAGTAAAAATTACAAAAAATATTACGAATGCTGCGGTTTTTGGCAGAGATAACCGCCAGGCCGAAGAGGGGTTAGGGGATGTTTCTACAGGGCATACTGTGAATGGAATTTGTAGCGCTGATTTCAATTACGTTTAAATTACCAACAGGCATTGGGGGGCGTATGGCGTGGAATGTTACCGTAGCTGTGGCCGTAGCTGCCGTAGCCATGGCAAATGGTGGGCATAACTCAATTCGTTAATTAAATAATTTTAAATATTGGCAAACATAGCGCAAGCAGGAGAATCGCCGCATTGGTGCATCGGCAACAACAACGGCTATTCGCAATGCAATTCAGCAATTTGGTAGTCGCAATGAGAGAGATTTTCAATTAGAATTTCCAATACAACTGCCCGGAAAACAAAGTATTTTTTCAATTATCAAGCGTTTGGTTTTTATACGCTCACATTTGGCAGGCTGTTAAAAACTATACTCGAGTTTGACTGCGCTGGAAGTCATCTTATAAAGTTAAACAGTAACAATGTTAAAAGGACTAACACATTTCTACAAAATGAATATAAGAAATGTGTGAAAATGTGTGTAAAAAATAATTTTCTGAACTTCAACTAATTGGAAATTTCATCTTTTGAGATACTGATTGATTCCCTATTATATAAATGACATATAAATTGACAAAAAATTAAATTTAATTTCGATTGAAAGTGTGTGAAAACTTCGGTTAACTAAATTAAAAGTAAGTCCAACTGAACTGCATTGGTAAATTTCTAATTTCCGTTTCAAAAACACGCTCAACCACCAAAACATACTTTTAGAAAATCTATGGGTGGGCAAGAAGCGTGGTGGGGCTAGTACACTTAATGCAATTGGCATTTGAAAACTTTCCACCTGAATGAGTCGAATGCGCTTTCAACTTTTATCTGCCATCTGTTTTACAGGCACCGACCATGACGACGACTACGACACTGTCCAGCGATCCGTCGAATCCGCCGGTCACCTACAATCAGATCAATGCGCAGCGGGCACAGCTGCTGGCCGCAGTGGCAGCGGTCGGTGGCGGCTGCAGCAGCACTGTCATCTCGCCCAGCAGCAGCATAATGGGCAGCCTGGGCGCTGGCAAGCCGCTGACACTGGGCATGGGCGGCACCATCATTGGATCGCCCACGTCGCTGTCGTCGACGGCGACGCTGGCAGCGCATCTGCAGCCGGCGCACAGCAGCGGAGTCGGCACACTGCCGCCTGGCCTGGGCAGCGGCGGTGGCTATATAATGAATGCCTATGCCAGTGGCAGGCTGCATCATCCGCCAGGCGGTGCTGGTGTGGGTCACACGGCCACGTTAAATCGCCATCATCATCATCAGCAGCATCACCAGCAACAGCAGCATCATCAGCATCAACATCATCATCAGCATCCCGGCTCCGGGTCGAGTTTGTTGCTGGGCAGTGTTGGCAGCGTAATGGGCGTGGGCGTCACCTCAACAACAACCACCTCGTGCAATTCCTCACAGGACTTGGATGACAACATTAATATAAATGCGATTAAGGATTGTCTCATGACGCAACGTGTGCCCGAGAGCTGCGTCTAAGTTGAGAATTATAATGTCTAGACTTGGACCTTCGATTAGCAACCTACACCTAGAACTAGACTTAAACGTCAGCTAAACGTGCTATATGTATGTAGTTGTATGTATATATATATATATATATATATTTAATATGTATGTCGTAGTAATGTTCCCGTTAAGGTGCTGTGCATAGCTATGTTAAGTTATATTCTTTATGACCATCTGCATATCTTACGCATAGATTTCATGGCATATCCTTTCCAATATCAATTGAGAAACAACTGTGAACAAATGCGGTGGCTACATATTAGCTGAATCGCAGCGACAAGTTGGCAATACCTTTTGCGAGATACTGACTCGTCAATAAATCGATAAGTTATCAACAACTTTTAGGGCAATGTTATCAACTGTTAAACCAATGCAGTGTAATCACATATCTTCGAAAATGTATCATTTAACACAAATGCGACTCAGTTTAATAAAAAGTAATACTGGAGAAGTTATGTGCAATTATTTCATTTAATTGGTAATACCTGTTGAAAGGTGATGTCGCCCAACCTTACTCCCGACAAAAATGCGTTATTTAAGCCATGTTAACAATATTTCCAAAATTCAAAGCAAAATTATGTCCTTTCATAAACTGAAAATTCTTAACAAATTATTTAGAGCGTATTAAAACTTTAAGTGAAAATTAAATTTAAATAATAAATATTGTTAAGGCAACTTCAAAAAGACTCTGAAACTTAGTAGAAAAAATTTAATTTGTAGCGAAAATGTTCCCAAACACAAAAAAAAAATAAAAATAAAATAAAATAGCTGGAAGATAAAAGTATATAAGAAAAGTACTACGATTAAGTCAAGTTGTAAATAATAAACTTACTAAACTTGTATAAAGCAAATGTACTTAGTCTACGATTTTTGTTGTTTATTTATTTAACTATATAGACGCTGCTAACTGTAAGCGCAGTTAAATTATGTGTGAAAGTATCCGTAATGAGAACGGGAATGTCCTGCATAGTAAAAGTAAATATAGTAAAAATGTAAAATTAATGCAAATTGTTAGAGCGCATTGCGTTTAAGCAGAATTTAATGACAGAGTTTAGTTAAAAATGTGTTAGGCTATAAATAAATCTATGCATACAAATTGATAAATCAATTAACTAAGTCATCAAAAATTGTGACAAAAAATAAGAATACTAAGAAAATGGTAAAAATAAAATGATTAATTATTGCAAAAAAAACGTGACTTATGTCGACTTCTTGGGAAGTGTTGGAACCAATGCTATTAAAAGTTGTTTAGTCCACAGATCTTATGGGTTAATACACAGTATCTTTCGAGTATATCATCACGAGTGACAAAAAACAAACTAACAATAATTAAGCAGCACAAGTGGGCTCTAAGCAAAGCCAAAACCTCTTAGCAATCAACAACTTTTTGGTTTCCTATACATTTATAACGTTCAAATAGAATTTTGGGTGCCTCACATGCAGCTAGACCAATTAAAGCCGCCACTCAAATACGTGCCCAACTCTGGTGGTTCACACTGGAAACCACAGTTGGCTAACACCCCACTTGATAAGCCGCAGAAGCTATATGGATGGGGTAGAAAAAACTATTTTAAATTTCATATGGTCTCGTCTCGGCTCATTAGCAAATCAAATTTATACAAGATACGAGAGAGATATTTAGGGCAACCCAGCAGCAAGCTGGCTGACGCTCGAAAAATCAACCCAAACACCCCATGGCTGACCACATGAAACTTTGGACTGAAACAGAATTGACAGGAAAAGTGAAACTTGGCTTTGATTTGTGGGCATGCCATGCAAAAATGCCTCTGCAGACAAGTTTTGGGATTCATTTGGGTTTCGGATAATTGGAAACCGCGCTGACAGCTGGCCCCCAGTCAACCAAAACCGAACGCTCAAAGTGTCCATTTTTCTTCTAGGTCACACACATATGTATGTATGTGGGTGTCAGCTCTCAGGCCCTAATCCAAAAGTCAATACCAAGGCAAACACGTGGCGCAATCTACTTAATTTGTAGCAAAGAACTTTTTGGTAGCCACATAATCATCCAGCTTTGTCATATTCAATTACTGGATAGATATGGGGTAAAACCTTATTCGGAAACGCGGCATTGAAATTATATTTTAAAAAGGTAGGTTCGATTTGATAAACTTCAATCGATTAGAAAATATCAGAAAGCTTCTTCCAGGCCAAGTTATCTTGTTTTATAAAAGAGTAACACTTAGTTCTCCAGCAAACTGCCTTTACTAACATGAAAATGGAAGAAAACAAGCTAGGTTAATAGAGAAAAAGGCCTGTTTATAAGTATCATATACATCGTAATAGATTTATATTTATATATTGAGCAATCAGTTGCACTCTGTTTTACAGGGAATTATTCTCCGTTTGTTTGGCCTGAACCAGCCTATTTAGTTATCAAACGAAACGCTGGCTCTAGATTATCTAGATGCATATATCTATTACCCATCCAAGCTAGCCCGGCTCTTCAATTCACTTCCGTTACGATTTTGCTTACTTCCGTTTGCACATTTACGCCAGTTGGCATCGCGAGCGCCTAATAGAAAACTGTTCACACGTGCTGCAAATTACCCAGTTTGAAAACCCACTCAACTAACCCAATACACAGACCAGACGTGGACCCCACCACTCGCCCCCAAATAGAGCCAGCCGCGTATCCCACAGACAGTTCGTGCGGTCAATAAATGTAAATAAAATGGACGCGACCGCGTATCCAAGGGGCACGCCCCATTTGTTGGCTGGTATCGGAGCAAAAAGTGGGCAACAACAAGAGAAGAAAAAAAAAAAAGGAAACTGTTATAGAAATTGCATAGTGAAAATTGTAACGAAATTATGCAGGTAATTTATGTTGTTGCTGTTGTTGTTGTTGTTCTTTGTGTTTCCATTTTTTTTTTTTCACGCACATTTATTGATTTTTTCCGTGTGAAAATTAAATTCCCATTTTGAGTTGCTCAGGTCCGAACATAAAGTTTTGTTAGACGCGATTACCAACTCGTCTCCCCGCTGTTCACCGTCTTCACGAGTCGCTTCAAAATTGAATTGAAGCGCGTTGTGTAAATCAGCGGCTCAATAAAATCTAATAGTCCCGGGCAGATTGCGGCTAGGCACGCATCCAAAACTCAATGAGACCACGCAAGAAACGCGAGAACTTTGGGTACGAGCACATAAATTAACAGGGGACCCAGGCGACTACGCTACTGTCGAACATTGGGAAACAAGGACGCGAACGTCCTTGACAGTGGCAAAATCTCATAAAAACAGCAGCAGAAATCCAAGAGATCTTAGATTAACCGAAGTATTCATGCTCTAGCTAAGTCAAATTAACTAAATAGAACAAATTAGCGAAATACTTTTCAAACAAGTTATACAACACTTTTACAAACATATTGCCTGGAAACTAGCTGAAAATGACAATAATATAAAATAATATTTCAATTCCAAACATGAATCAGAACTAAGCTTTACCCATTTTCGCAAGTTAAGCATGTCAAAGCTCATGACAAATTCAAAATAATCTTTTTTGCAGAGCACAAACCGATAGAAGCCGTTTGGCAAATTAACTAATGACCCCATATTAGGTGCTAGGCATCTTGGCGGACTCAAGCGTTGGCGGGGTTAACTTCTCTAAAATGTTTGGGATGGGGGGCCGACGGGGTCGGAAATGTTGCTGTCGCGTTTGTTTAATTGTCGTGCGACCCGCTTTTTGCTCGTTTTAATGAGTCAATTTAAATTCCGATTTCGATTGTCCATTGCGGGACACACAGAGAGCACACAGCTTGCAGCTGCCAGACTGCGGCCAAATCGATGTTCATTAGCAGAAGGCGCTGCCACGCCCACACGCTATAGTGACGCCCGCGAAAAACGAATGAGTTTTTTTTTTCGCCGTTCGCATTGTCAACGCAATTAGCTGAAGTTTCAAAGTTAATATTGGTTTTTGTTTTTAGCATTGAAATGATACAAAAGTCGAGAATTTAATAGAAATTTGTGTTAAATATATGTATATATAATTATGCGTTTTTTTTTATTATTATTATTATAATTTATATGTAATTAAAAGCTGACCACACTTTTTGTTAGCTAAATTAATGAACGAAACATTTGCTTTTTAATGCGCTACACCCTATTAACTTGTCAAAGGGGCTGTTATGAAATTTTCAATATGTATTTTTGTAACTTACAGAAGTGCTCGATCATGTCAATGCAAAATATCAATATTTTTTGAAAATTTTGTTTTATTTGTTTAATTTTCTATATTTGTTTTTAATGTACTCTTGTTTATTGTTTGCCTTTTTTTTATCCTATTCTGTGCTTAAATTTCCATGTACTAATAAATTTAATTCATCATATTTTAAACACATGGATTTTTTATATTAATTGTAAAGGATATTGCCTAGTCACAGTCTAACTTAGTTTCTATTCTCTAGCGTTTTTTATGCATTATGGCAACCGTAATTAAAACATCAGCGTTTTATTATTTGATTTATTATACGCATATGATGGCCAGCAAAAACAACTACAAGGACAGCAGCAACAAAAACAATAGCAACAACAACTGCCAAACGCATGTGTAATTGCATATTTGAACTCAATTAACTGGCGACTTGACCGCACAAATTTGTCAAGGCTTGCGGGGCAAAGGGTTTAGCAAAAGCGCAAAGTATCACATCAGCATAGGACAAGGGGAATGTGGGAGCGAGTTGTTTGCCAAGCAGCGTCTGCCATAAATTTCTTGCTACGCACTCACTCAACTTGACCCCGAGCTGGAGAGAACGACAAGGATATTTTGTTGAGCGCAGTGCTGCATGAAATGAAATTTAGCGCAACGGCCTCTTTCCATACGCTTTTTTATGCCGGCCAAAACAATTTATGGCTAAGCGCGCATGTTGGCCTAAAAATGTATATATGTATATTTATTTATATAAGGCTTGCATGCGTACATATGCATGTACGTACATATATAAATTGTTACATAGAAACACGTCAATAAATTACAGGCCCCCAAGCCTTAGACGTAGCCAAGTTGAACTAATAGCAGCTCCACAGCTCCTCGCAATTCAAGTAGGGGTGCGGATTTTAAAATTCAACCAAAATTTAGATACCCTAGAGAGAGTAAACGCAGCTTATACAATAACCTACACAGAGAGTCCAAGCAGAACTCTAATCTGGTTAAGGTTTATCAGAAATATAATAAGCTGCAAGCCAAATAATTCGAAAAACAAGGTTCATTGATTCAGTTCTGAATACTGTTCGTTAATATTCTTGAAACCGATTTTCAATTAACAAACATTGAGTGTAGCACATTTGTTGACAAGTCTATGAAGCCCAATGAGAGTGTATAAAAAAACGCAAATCAACAAGAAATATAAATTTAAACTCTGTGTCAACATGCAGCAGGTCATTGGCAGTAGAAGGGTATAATAGCGGGACGGGTTGCGGGCGTGAGCAGGCTCAACAATTTATGCCAAAACGCGACAACATGCAAAACAACAACAGCGGCAACAACAAGCGGTCGTTAGTGTATGCGTGTGTGTTAATTAAAATGCCTTAATTAAAATAATATGAAATGTTTGCAAGCGCGAGCGGAAAGCAATAGACAGCAGGCATGGGCGGAAGTGAAAGAGAGAACGATAGAGAGAGAGAAGGAGAGGGGAGAAAGGGGCGGAGTGGTAGACTGAAAGAATCGCAAACTTTTTGCTCATTGACTGGCGCATAGATTGACAAGCATGACAGAGGCAACTGGCCCGCCCCCAAAGACCAGTACCGCAGACTTGTCGCACATCCCCCAAGCACCCCTAACACCAGACACATACACACACACACACACACACACACACATACACAGAGGGGGTGTTGC